CATTCACTTCAGAAAAATTACTAAAAACTGCTTTAAGACGTTGCATTTACTTCAGAAAAATGACCAAAAACTGCTTTAAAATGTAGCATTCACTTCAGAAAAATTAATAAAAACTGTTTTAAGACGTTGCATTCACTTCAGAGAAAATGATAAAAAATTGTTGTTTAGCTTAAATTCCAAAACTTTCATAACGTTCTGACTCTCAATCCTGTCTGTTATGGCCAAGAGCTTATTGTTCAAGTTCTAATAGCCTTTTTACTCTGGTAGTTAAGGTTAACTCGTTTTATTGTCTTAGTGCATATAACTGTGTAAGCTAAGTTAGTTTTTTTATCACTGCAAAACTTTCTGTAGTGTTTTGATGCTATTTGTGGTCAAGGCAACAATGGTAAGATTTACAAAGATACACTACAGGAGGTTTCTACCTAGCAACAGGAACCAATGTTAGTATTCACAAAGATGTATGTATCATTGTAAATACTAACATTGTTTCCTGTTGCTAGGTGAACCTTCTGTAGTGTATCTTTGTGAATACTAACATTGTTTCCTGTTGCTAGGTGTAAAACTCCTGTAGTGTATCATTGTGAATACTAACAGTTTCCTGTTGCTAGGTGGAAAATTCCTGTAGTGTATCATTGTGAATATTAACATTGATTCCTGTTGCTAGGTGAACCTCCTGTAGCTACAGGAGGTTTACACCTAGCAACAGGAAACAATGATAATATCCACAAAGATACACTACAGGATGTTTCCCACTAACAACAGGAACAAATGGTGTCTTTCACAAAAGATTTACTGCATGAGGTTTCATGTAGCAACACCTCCAATTTTTGTTTTTATAATATTCCTGGATTCGAACCCGCAAATGTCGAGTCGAGCACCCTAACCACCAGGCCATGTAAAGGTACCAAACAGTGATCTGATTTATTCGGTAGTTTGTGGATGAAGACAATAGATTTCTCTCAACTACATACTTACTTGGGAACGAAGTTAGCTATGTACTGCAACCCTTCATTGCCTGCAGCATTTGGTCCAATCTTTGAAGAACGAACACTGAAAGCACAGTCAGGCTCGAGGAGTGGGTTCAAGGGTGCTTGTCTCTGGGTGGGAAATATTATCCCGGGCTGTCCGACCGTCAGCAAGGACGTTACTAACACAAAAGATCTAAATGCACAAAACGAAATAAACCAAATTATCTATATGTTAGATTAAACAGAAGGAGATCAAGAAATTCTGGTAAATATGCCAAGAGTCATAATTAGTCGTAGTATAATAATGTTCACTTATACTTTACCAGAATTAGTCCTAGTATAATAACGTTCACTTACACTTTACTAGAAGTTGTTGTAGTATAACAACGTTCACTTACACTTTACCAGAATTAGTCGTAGTGTAATAACAAAATCGTATGCATTTTTCTCTGAGGACAGAGCTACCAACAATATATTTAAACGACACGACATGCTAGTTTCTCTAGTTGAACATAACTATAATACGGTTAAGTTCATCCATTATGTAATACCTGTAATTTAATTGTTGCACGTGAAGCATTAGAAATCAACACCGACAACTTACAACAGAACTGAAGCGGTTTCTGTGAGTGAAAAATGACCCAACAAAATCAGTACAACAAAAAAGGGCGATTTTCATCACGTGGGTGCGCGGATTCCTCTTTTTCGTTATGGAGTTTTCAATCGTCATAAAGGTGCATTAATATTTTTGAACAAAATAACAAAATTATTAATATATCAAACCTTAAATCGTGCCAAACAATGAGATTTTTAACGTTATATAAAACAAGATAAACATAAACAAACTTTGATGTTTCTCCAGCAGTCATCAAAGTATTGATGCCCAATACTCAGAACAAAGTATTTTATCCCCAAAATTAAATGTTCAGTCAACACTTAGGATGACCATTCGACTTTTAAAGATGGGCGTGATACGTCTAGGTTCTGATGTTTACCACCTAGACAAAGTATTTAACCCAACATCAAATGTTCAGTCAACACTTGGGATGGCTATTCGACTTTTAAGGATAAAAGGGGTTAAACACATTGTCTAGGTGGTTAACATCAGGTCCTGGACGTATCACTTTAAAAGTCGAATAGCCATCCCAAGTGTTGATTGAACATTTAATGTTGGTGAGCGTTATACGTCTAGGACCTGATGTTTACCAGCTAAACAATGTGTTTAACCCCAACATTAAATGTTCAATCAACACTTGGGATGGCTATTCGACTTTTAAAGATGAGCATTATACGTCTAGGACCTGATGTTTACCACCTAGACAAAGTATTTAATCCCAACATTAAATGTTCAATATATATACAGGTACTCACGTCATCCTTTACGAAGTCGTTACAAAAATTATCCTCTGGCTGTCTTTTTCAACTTCTTTTAATACAAGACACAACTAACACATTAATGCCAGAGTTTCGAACCCACAATCGGAACTACAAAGATGTTTGTCTACGTTCTCGTTGTCTATCGTGACTGCCGCTCTTTCTCTCTCTTTCAGACGGAACTCAGAAAAGAGGCCAAGAGAACGCTGGAAGGCAGCATATGGTCGTGATTGGCCAGCGGCCAGTGATTACTGCCTATATAGTCTTTCTCGCATCACGGCTAAGTTTGGGATACTGGCGAAGATGAAGGTCAATATAACGTCAGATGGTTTTGATGAAGTATTCTTAAAGAGGTCGTGTTAAAAGCGGCAAATTAACTGAAAACATTCAGTGGAAGAGATTAAAAGAAATTTGGCCAACTTTATTGATTAATCAAGAAATTCTTCCAGAACACGCTGGGAAATCTACATAGTATTGATGTGAATATTCATTCATTCATTCACCAAGGTATATTTTCACTCATGTGTCCAGGGTTGACGTCATTAGGCTTGAAGTAAAGTTTATGCAGAGGTAACTATTTTCATCCACCATTCGAAGAGCTGGGAGGAGGACTCTATATTTTACACCAAACATATGTAGACCACCCACAAAGCTATGTAACGGTCCTGTCATATCGATAACCATATCTTCAAGCAACTTCGATCAGCTTTAGTGACGCCATTACAGTTGTAACATAATCAATAACAAACACCCCCAAAAAACACTAATGAGCTTTAATGACGCCATTACAGTTGTAACAGAATCAATAACAATACCCACAAGAACTCCAATCAGCTTTAATGACGCCATTACAGTTGTGACAGAATCAATAACAATACCCACAAGAACTCCAATGAGCTTTAATGACGCCATTACAGTTGTAACAGAATCAATAACAATACCCACAAGAACTCCAATGAGCTTTAATGACGCCATTACAGTTGTAACAGAATCAATAACAATACCCACAAGAACTCCAATCAGCTTTAATGACGCCATTACAGTTGTGACAGAAACAATAACAGTACACACAAGAACTCCAATGAGCTTTAATGACGCCATTACAGTTGTAACAGAATCAATAACAATACCCACAATAACTCCAATGAGCTTTAATGATGCCATTACAGTTGTGACAGAATCAGTAACAATACCCACAAGAACTCCAATGAGCTTTAATGACGCCATTACAGTTGTAATAGAAAACAGTGTACATATCTTCAGTGATTATCAAGATTTTCTTTTTTAAACTATAAATATTTCATATTTCACTGTAGAAGACATCTTAAACGTTCTAATCAGTCAGCGTCCTCTACTTCTTAATTAACAATATGCTACTTCCTTTGTAAGTTAAAAAGAATCTGACGACCAATAATAAACTGTTCTCTAATCTACTGTTCAAACAGAAATTTTATTTTCGCAACACCCACTGAATAAAAGTGATTACAATGAAAACCGTGATGGTTTAGATCTCCTTAGATATAAACACCTTACATAAACTCAGCACTATTTTAAAAAGTTAATAATAGAATCTACCCGTTCGCTAGATGGCGGGAAACTGAAGTGTGACAAGCAAGATGCTCTATGTTTCTGATGAGGAAAACAGCAGCAGTTGGTGAGATCCAACCAATGCTTTGATTTTAATTAATAACAGGTAGGCAAACAACGATTTATAAGGAAAAGTTTTATGGATAGTGGAACATTCTACATGTTTCTACGAAACACTGGTCTGTCTTCTTCGCCCCCCAGTGGCACAGCGGTATGTCTGCGGACTTACAACGCTAGAATACGGGTTTCGATACCCGTGGTGGGCAGAGCACAGATAGCCCATTGTGTAGCTTTGTGCTTAATTACAAACAAACAAACCGTCTTCTTCAAGTACGGTCAGTACTAAGAAATACAAGGTTTATATATCGTTACAAAGACAATAGAGATTAAATGTGATGGAAATGGTGTCAGCAGATGACAGGGTATAGGTAAAGGTCAAGTCTGGTCAACTGTATGAATGGTGAATAGATTTTTTACGGTTATCACGGTTTATTGAGAGATCGTTTTCCTTGATGATTTCTTTAGTTTCTAAACAATCTCTTTCTTTTTTAGTTGTGGGTTGGTGTAAGAGAAGAATTTCATCCCAAAGTATTTTGTGACCTGTTTCAAATTGATGATATGTTAAGGCAGATATCTGGAATTCACCTCTACACTATTTTTAAGGAACGTTATTTTTATTCTAAGTAATTCTTTCCATATTCACGTAGGATACTGTATATGCCCTGTTTTTGTTCTATTAATAGGGATTCTTTTGGGTTAGGTAATAAGGTGTTAATTTCATGTGAGGGTTTGAATACAGTTTTTACATCAAATTGTTAAAAAAAAGCTAGTAATTTCGTTAGCAATTTCTGGCACAAAAGGAAATGAAACAAATTTGTGATTTTTATAATTAGTTGACTGCTCTATTTTATCAATTCCTTGTGAAAAAATAAAACAAATCTGTTTGTTTATTGATACCTCGGTTTACTTTTGTAACCATTTCTCACAACACATTCTGCTTCAGTGGAATGTTTATGTTGAACATGAAATAAGGACGAATGTGACTATTAACCTTATAAATAATCTATTTTCATTTCGGTCACATATTTTACTGGCAAGCTTTCAAGATGATTGTTCAAGTAGAGCTTTAAATGGGTGAACTTATTTCCTTCCCCATTTTCACTGAGAAGCGGTGTGAACAAAGAAAGATGACACGATTGTCCAGCCCCACATCACTCTGTCCCAACAGAAGATGTTTGGAATCTTGCCCCTGTAACACACAAAGGTTATCGCCCGCCCTTGAGTTAAAAACCGCATGCTCGGTATAAGAAGATGAGTAGTTGACGTAAGCCTGGTTTTGTGGACCACGTGGTATTGCTTGTCTATGCTCCACGTGTTAGTAAAATTCGAGGCTGAAAAACAATCCCTTTACGGTTTTGATAAGAATAGATTAAGACGCCATTCACAGAACAGTCCTGTTTCAATAATAAGCATCTTGCCAACACACAAAACCGCAGTATGTAATTATCCAAGTTGGGCTAAAAGTATTTAAAATGGGGTCTAGGGATCTCTGGAAATGTTCTTAAATACAAGTTTAAAAGATTTCTGGAAGATATTCTAGATAACCTATACATTGGATTAGGAGGTTTCCAGAACATATCCTTTTTGTGGTCTCTACGTGTTAGGGAATTTCTAGAAAGTCTCCTTTACTAATCTCGACATATCTAAAATATTTCTAGAGAATATCTTACCTAATTTATACAATTTTTATTAACGGATTTTAAAAACATATCCTAAGCTAATATTAGGGAATTTCTAGAATAAAGATTATACACAGTTCAGTGTAACGGCAAGTGAAATTAGAATCACTCTTCGATAAATACATCACATTCACCTTTCTACCAGGATTACTCATGTAAGTTTCAAATAGCTTACCAACGTGTATATAGTGTATGTTCAAATCTTCAAAACATTGTAGATTTTTAAACTTGTTATATAAATTGGTAGAATGGACTCATAGAGCATTAGATTAATTATGCCCCAAAATATTACGCGCCATTGACATGGTGTGATATTTATTTATATTTTCAAATGAGAAAATATCTATGAGTAGTTAATAGCATCTAAACTCATCTTATTCTTGACTCGCAAGCTGAGGTCGCGGTTTCGAGTCCCATCACCTTTCAGGCCGTGGGAATGTTATAATGTGACGATCAATTTTGCTATTTTTTGATAAAACAAATAGTCGAAGAGTTAACAGTGGGTGGTGCTAACTAGCAGCCTTCCCTCTATTATATCACTTCAAAATTAGGGACGATTACGGCAGATAGCTCTCGAAAAGCTTTGCGCGAAATTCGACAAAACAAACAAACATTCTGACATCACCAGCATGAACGCAACCCCCCCCCCCTACATCATGCCGCGAATGGCGAGATAAGCTATATATGTTTCTTACTTGAAATGTCGTATAAGAGCGAGGCAGGAATGAGATAAAGTATTCCATCGATGGAACAAATGAACTCTTTAGCTACGAGCTCGGTCGGTGTGACCGAGTTCGTAACCATAACGTACCCATCAGAGTTTACACACTATATCTCGTAACATTATACACCTGTTTATATTTAATTATATTGTTTTATTGCCCTTAGAACCATGTCTAACTAATAATCCCGTCACACAAGTTGTAAATCACTCAGCTAAAGTGCAGCTCACGTTACCTTATCGAATTACGTAACGCATGAGCTGTTCGCGAGTATAACTGATGAGGAATTTTTATTGTCATTTTTCATTTTTTTACCTTATGTAACCTAATAAGTTTCCTATTTTTAAATTTTAGTTACTTTTATAATAATAAAGAAAGAAAGCACATGAAAAACAAAAAATATTGTACTGGGCTTTAAAACTTTCACAAACCTTCCCGCTCCCTCCCTCGCCCCCAATTCAAGTACTGGTATTAATATGTTCCAATGCTACTGAAAACGTGATTAGTTGGATATAGCAGAAAGTTGGGATAATAACCCACCATAACCCACCATATCCCCTCTCTACCAAAGTTCTTACTACAACACATAACCCACCATATACCCTCTCTACCAACGTTTTTACTACAACACATAACCCACCATATACTCTCTCTACCAACGTTTTTACTACAACATATAACCCACCATATCCCCTCTCTACCAACGTTCTTACTACAACACATAACCCACCATATCTTCTCTCTACCAACGTTCTTACTACAACACATAACCCACCATATCTTCTCTCTACCAACGTTTTTACCACAACACATAACCCACCATATCCCCTCTCTACCAACGTTCTTACTACAACACATAACCCACCATATCTTCTCTCTACCAACGTTTTTACTACAACACATAACCCACCATATCCCCTCTCTACGAACGTTCTTACTACAACACATAACCTACCATATCCCTCTCTACCAACGTT